CACGCCGGATAGCGAGCGTGGGGTAGAGCACCGTTGGGGGATTATGACTTGGTCCGTCCCGATTGATGATTTTACCGCGTATTTGACTGAAATTTATTTGTTATTATCATGATTTGGGCTCATTGCCATATTTGGGCTTCGTGCCAATTATCTGAACCTTCCGGGGATTTTTATCACTGTTTCCTCACTATTTTGATATACTACTTGAACTCATTCCTGTTGATTATACTGTTTTACAAACTCAGCCGCTTTAATTGAACTTTGAGACCTAAATGATATTTCCACTGTTGTTTGGGCTGAGCACTACTATTTTATTGATGCCCAAGGGGCTTATGATGTTTTCTGGACTGAGTGAGGCCGAGGGCCATATGTGAGGAGGCTTTCAGGCCTCGAGTGTGATGTGAGGAGGCTTTCAGGCCTCGAGTGTGATGTGAGGAGGCTTTCAGGCCTTATGTCATATGCCACGGGTGGCTTGATATTGAGCTTGGGCCGTAAGGGGCCCCTCCTGGAGTCTGCACACCCCCAGTGAGTGCCGTCGACAACATATGGATCGGGTTGTACGCCGCATCGAGATGTGGATCGGGCTGCACGCCGCAGCGGTTACTATATGATACCATTCTGAGAGTGATCTGAGAGAGAGAGCCCGAGGGGCTGAGAGTGTTTCTGAGAGTGAGCCCGAGGGGCTGGTAGTGTTTTGAGATATTGCCCAAGGGGCGAACTTTTACGTGCTCATCTTGCATATTTACTTGCCTTTTTACCTGTTATACTGCGGTATTTGTGCCGGAGGGGCGGATTTTTCTGCGCTTATCAGCACTAACTGTTTTGAAATCGTTTCGTAACTGTTGAAAAGATCATTTTCAAAAGAGATTTAAACTGAGCCAATATATTTCTAAAGATTTCACAGCTTCACTGTTTTTCTCAATGGATTGTACCCTGCTTCTATACAGCATGTTGGTTGCTTTACGTGATTTCTTACTGTTCAGTTGTTATTTACCTTTATTACTCACTGAGTTGGAGTACTCACTTTACTCTCTGCACCTCGTGTGCAGTTGCATGTATTTATTCACCCCGTAGCGGGTATTGGCTGTTTGGAGGCAGAGCTGTAGTAGTTTAGCGAAGTGACTGCCGGCGTTCTGTCACGACCCAAATTCCCAACCCGGTCGTGATGGCGCCTCTCGTGAAGACAAGGCCAGCCAACAGAACAACAACGCCTCTTTCAAAATTATTAGACATAAATGAATAGATAAATACAACTTAATGACAATAATAATCGATATTTACAACCCAACACAGCCCGACCGGGGTGTCACAAGTCATGAGCATCTAGAGAAGTCTGAACACGACTACAGGGCCAATAATACACAGAATAAAATTTAGAATCAAAAGACGAAGTCCGATGCCGCGAACACCGGCGGTCACCTTGCTCAGCTACGATAACAAAATCCTTAATCAGCTCTAACCCGCTACCGGGTAACAAATACCTGCTACTGCACGCGAGGTGCAGGGAGTAAAGTGAGTACTCCAACTCAGTGAGCAATAAAAGTAAATAATAAGTGAGCAGCAAGAAATCACGTAAGGCACTCCATCATGCTATATAGAACAGTGCAACCCTTTTGAGAAAAACAGTAAAACCGTGAAAATCCTTTAGAAAATATATGGGCTCAGTTAAAACCTCTTTTAAAAATATCCTTCTCAACAGTTAAGCAAATGAATGCGAAACAGATAGTGCAAGTCAGCACATAAGTCAGCCCTCCGGGCACAGCACTCCATTAACAAATAACACCAGGGTATCAGGTGAACAGTGCAAGAAGTAGCATGGATGCCAATAGAATGAGAGTGCTGAATGTCATGACACGTAATACAACCAGGAACCAATGCATGAGTGCAATGCAATACATATGACCGCTGCGGCGTGCAGCCCGATCCATCCATATTTAACGTTGACGGTGCTCACTGGGGGTATGTACAGACTCCGGAGGGGCTCCTACAGCCCAAGCGCAATAATCAAGCCATCTTGTGGCATCAACTAGGCCCTCGGCCTCAATATCAATATAGTACCGCTGTGGCGCGCAGCCCGAGCCATCCATATATCCAGAAATCACTATAACACTGCTGCGGCGCGCAGCCCGATCCATGCTCAGTCCAGAAATGCACATAAGCCACTTGGGCAATATCATAATAATGATTCTCAGCTAAAAACGTCGATAAAATATTGTTTAAATTTTGAAATCTTAGAAAAATGGCTGAGTTTACAAAACAGTATTAAAACCCTGGACCGAGATCAAATAATATGCAAGTAATGCGAAAACAGTGATATCAATCCCTGAAGGATTCACATAGTTGGCACGAAGCCCAAACATGGCAATCAACCTAAATTATGATGATAACAAGTAGTTTCAGTCAAATACGCGGTAAAAATCAACAACCTTCCACTACTATAACTTCTGCCGGAGCCGTACGATACGGTGCCCTGCACCAAATCAATACCGAAATCCACAATCTCGGCCGGCGACATGCCCGGCCACAAGAAACGCATCCAAAAAAGTCCCTCAACACCGGAATTGAATCAATGGTAGAAACCTCTGCACTGACATCCATCACGAAGGCCCACTCAAGAAAAACAGTCCTTCCCAGCCGTCCGCTGGTCTTTGGAATAGAAACCACTCTGCTAGAACGTAATCTGATGCACCTCGCCATGCAACTTGTGACATTTTCCGGCATAGCCCATAGCACAATAGTCTAGAATAACCCAACACTGAGACAACCAGTCTACACCCCAATATCATATCCAAAAATCTAATATACCAAGCAAAGAAAGATCCACTCGGGCCTCCAAATCCCAACAGCTGCTAAACGATACCAATACACACAATCCATATGTTCGTTAGGGTTAGTTGTTCTGTTATATTTTGGTATATCGGGATGCGAAACTTCTTGGGAATGGGCATTGGAGCCGCACTTGGGGGGAAAGATTATTGTATGAACTTTTTTTAGTCCAGTCCTTTCAAAATCGGAGGCGCTCCTGGTATCTGGTCGACCCTTGAATTGTATGTCTCCACCTTTTTGTCATTTTCTTCAATTTTCTTTTCTCCGGACTCGATTCTTTTTGTCTGTTCTCCGAGCATTTTCATAATAGCGGGATCAGTCCCCGAGCCATCTTCATCGGGCCTTTCATGCGCAGGTTCCATATACTGGGATTCCACTGGTTCGGCAGTGTTTGGAGTTCTTTCTGACTCTGAAGTTGAGCGATGGCGATTTGCTGAGCTTACAACATCTCGAATATCACTTGGAGGCTCACTCCTCCTTCTTCCATTCCTCTCATTTCCTGGCCTCCGGCTCGGACTTCCCTGTGTGCATTCCTTACGGGGTCTGTGCCTGCGTCCGTGTTTAGAGCATTATGTGAACTGATATCAAAGGGCCTCCAAATTTGGCACCCCCTCAGGGTTTATGGGTGGTACACCAACCCCTATACCGCTGTTTTCTCCAAGTCCCTCACTGTCATGAGCAGGTGCGTTTTGAGTGCTAGACATGTCCAAATCAGAAATCAAAGAATCTTTGACAAGAAAAAGTGTGAAGAATAACGTGTGTTATCAGAAAACTAGCACTAAAATAATCACTATAATCTTTAGCCCCACGGTGGGCGCCAAACTGTTTACCTCGAAAAATGTAAGTGATAATTAAAGATAATTTGTGATTTTAAAGATATGTGATATATTCTAATACTAGTGATTATACAAGTAATATTAAGCATAAGTAAGAAGAATTAGTGAACCAAATCAGTGTTGTTGGAGCAATAGGGACCTCGAGCTTGATATTCCCAGGGACCTCGAGGTCAGCTAAGAACAATAAAGTATGAACAATAAAGTAAAGACAAAAAAGCTGAAGAATAATTGTTGAGCACGTTAAACAAGGAAAGCGGAGTAGAATGTTCTATTGCGGTGAATGGGATGTGTCCTTTACAAAGATTGGGGTTCCTTTATATAGAAGGAGAAAACCCTAATATGGTACATTTCCAATTATGGTAAAGAATTATATTGGTACAGCTGTATAACAACCTAGTACGGACTTGTACTATTTCGTACAAATCTTATCCTTTAATTTATGCTCTGATCCACGTGTCCTTGAGAATTCCCACTCTTTCTTGAGTGTCTTCAAGATTGTGCTGCCCTCGATGTAGGTTGTGCCAGTCCTTCGATCTGCTTCCTCGAGGTGTGCTTACCTGGGCCTGGCTTGACTCTCACCTCGAGTTCACCGAACCCGGGCTCGGAATGTAAATAAGTCTCCAAAATCGAGCTTTCCGATTTTGACCGTATACAAACTCTAAGGTTTAATTTGCTCAATAAATTCTTAGCTCATCAAATGGCCTCGATTCAATCTCTAATCTTACAAATGAGAATTTTTGCGTTCATTCTTATAAAATGGATTATGTATGTGCCAATTAAATTTATTAAACAATTAAGGACCCACTAACAAATTGGTTTGATTTGGTATACACATGATATAATTAAGATAGTCACTAAGTACTTATTAATAGAAGCGAATATAGGATTATAAGTTAGTTCCGAAATTCTGTTACACCCATTGCCCTTCTGTGACAAAGGGTACAAACATTAAATAGTAATCTAAACATAGTTTAATATATATATCATAAATGGGTTGTTTATCCCGGTGAAAGGGACGCTCTCGTTTTAAATCGCTCTTGTGCATATGTTGAATAGTTGTTTTACGCGTTTATATATATATATAAAAGGACAAATTCAATATAGCCATTGAGTTAGTGTGAACATTGAGTGCAAATAATTTTATTGGTATGGGCATTTTATTATTATTAATATTATTATTATAAACTAGTATACCTACCCGCGCGATGCGCGGAAAATATTGTTGGAGCTTCTAAGAAACTGTTTCTTGCAGTCCTAATTATACTATACTGCATTACCCTCAATAGAAGATCAATCCAAAGCATATGAAAAAAGTATTCTCACAGCAATTTAATAGATCTATTCTTCTCCCTAAGATACATTTTTACATATTAAAACACTCAGCAACAATAATTTATTTCAGAAATTTTAGTACATTTGCAATATTTGCAAAGCAGCTATACAGATATTATTCATCCATCCAAAACCGCAGATCTTCAATTAAAAGTGTTCGGCTATCATCGGCACCGGTTGGCTGAGCCGACGCCATGTAACCTCCGACATCAACCTTGCTCTGCACTTCTAATGTTGTACTGTTTGGCATGGCGATAACCATTTGTTAGGATTTGTTCTCTCAAGATTCTGTTGCTCAACCTTATATCCAAATTAAAATTCAAAATCAGCCTCTAAGCCAACTTTAATTTTTATGTTTTCTGCGTCTGTGTCGCTGAACAAAGAAAATAACTCGATATAAACGGGACGGACAAACAATATTAAAGCAAAAGTAGCTTTAAACAAAAGAGTCTTGAAAGGAAAAAGTTACACACGATAACTAAATGAAAATAGTTATTAATCCTCACAAAGTTACTTGTAGTATCTTGAAAAGTTGTCCACAATACATAATAACTGGACTTGTATAAGTAGGAAAGAGGTAGAGTTGGGACTTAAGTTTGTTAACAACATCATTACCTCACTTTTCTTATCAAGCCATTCAAGCCATAAGAAAATGTATGGCTAAGGATCAAAATTCAGTGATAGCAACCATATTCATGGAAAGAAAAATATGTAAAGAATCTGCAAAATAAAACTACAATGAATAAACTTCCAATTGACAGCATGACGACTAATATATGTTGTTGCCTCTGCACAAACTTTTTCCAAAACTGTTTTCCAATAACAACACAGACATGCTAAGAAAAAAAAAAAGAATCTCCAAAAAGAGCTGATGATTGAAGAAATTATAGAAAGGAAGATTGTAAGTGAAAAAGTTGATCTTGCACGTCTAAAATGTAAGATAAATGATATGAATATAGAAATATAATAAATTAACTTGCATAATGTTCGCAATACACATGCAAAAAGCAAGTCAAAAATAGAAGAATTTAAAAATATTGTATATTAACCTGGTTGCGAAACGTAAAAAGTAAAGCAGTTCCATCACGAGGTGCATCTTCCTCAAATACAACTTTGTGCATCTGAATGCCCCTAAGACGGTGCAAAGATATAGTTAAAATAAAAGCCCCACGTTTTGGACAAAATTTTAATAAAATAACAAAAAAGATGCCAGAACATATGCAAAGATAAAGCTTTAAGACGTGCATCTTCCTCGGTATAATTTTGTGCATTTAAATATCCTTGAGACAAAAAAAAAACCCCCATTTTGACAAAATTTTAATAGAATAACAAAACAAATGCCAGCACATTTTACAAAAATAATCTTTAAAAACCAAGAGGAAAATATTGTAACATGATAATAGGCTAAACTTTTAGTTACTTTTCTTTTGCATTACGTTCCACTGCCATCACTGTTAGAAGGAATTCGATTGCTCTACTCTGTAGCAAACACAAATGATGCGGACCTAAAACAAATATGAAAAATAATATATTAAAAAAGATTATCTTTCCCTGACTTGGAGAGAACGACTAACACACTTATATACCTTATTTTGTCTTTTATTCACTTGCTTTGTTGTCTTATCACATCCTAGATTATCCATTAACATATATATGAAGTGCTGCTTCAAATGATATCTATTACCAAAGTAGAAAATGTCAAGACATGAAATGTTGGTTCAAGATTATAATACAGTTAGCAGCATCGACTGAAACCAACCATAAACCTCTCTTAAGGGTTTTGGTTCTCTTTTGTCTCTGAGTCCTAAAAGGATGGAAAGTAAAGAAAAAGCTCCCTACATATTGGCTCAAAATCTAGAAAACATCGCCCTGAAAAATAACTTAATTGACACATGCTGATAACATCTACTATGTCGTTGAATTTTTTTTATTAATTCATTTGAAAAGGAGGACAATTTAAATTTATAATATGGGTTTCATCCATTAATCAAAAGGTGTTGGTACATTTATTTGAGAATAAATTTGTACTCTTATATTTTTTAGTTTTGCTTTTATAATGCTCAGAATGAAAAAAAAATATTGTTCATGATCATGTTGGTGGTCCAATAAATACAAATATTGGATAAAAAGTTAGATATATTACTTTCTTTACCCTTACTTGCCTTCACCAATATTGGTCATCTTGGAGAAAATAGTTATAATTAATAAATTGATGCTAATTATTCTTTTTATCAATTGACCTTTTGAAAAATATTTATGCGAAATAGAGAAACTCCTAAAACACTATAAGCTAAAAATTAATTATGGCATCAAGCAATCCAAAAGCATATTCACTCATTGTATGTGCTTTGAGAAAAGCAAGTTTTAACCCGATTATTCTAAGCTCAAGTTTTTCCTATTCTTTATGTTGCTATAGTTCTAAATACTAAGACTTGATGTTTAATCCTACGATACCAAAAAAAACTTAATGATCCAAGCAAAATCAATAAAGTTACTTTAGAGGTAAATATGCCAAATTACGATACCAAGAAGATACAATCTAATAATTAAATTTTACATTCACAACCTATTCAAAATAAAGCAGTAGATAAAGACAATGAGAGAAATTTACTTGAGATGCTTCCTAGACCACCTAACATATCTTGGTGAACCTCTTACAGCCACTAATTCATCTTCATCTTTGTACCTCAAAAACCAGCCATGTGCAATCCCAAAAAAAAAAATATCTTCACAGAATGCGTGTTTACAACTGCTATGAGGTTTGACTGGTTGGTTTATATAGTGACATAGTAATATTTTTTTGGATAAAACTGCTTGCCAGCTTTCCTTCTAGTTGTTTGAATTTGCAACTTACTTTGAACGTCATAGAGAGACCTCAAAGACTCCACAAATTCACTATCACATTCATATTCACACACAACTAATACAGAAAACACATGAATGCAAACCTTTTCTTCATATGGATACACACTAAAATTATAAATTTCTTGCACATACACAATTCAATCTAGTCCATTGTCTGTTCGGTGATTTCATAACCATTTATGCATCAACCTCTTTCTCACCTATTTGCACGGTTGTTCAGTCTTATCTTTCAGCCGAAAAACCTTATTTACTATAGCACTATCAAGCCACTTCATAATTTAGCGATTCAACTCATCTTTCTTTTTTTTCCGCATAAATATCATCAATCACTTATTTGAAATGAAGGCATCTTATATTATTTGTTTTCCTCTGCTTGTACAATATTGGTCTCTTTTGAGTTTATGGGATGTGAAGTCGAGTATGAATTTAAAGGATGTTGCGTACTTAAACATAGAGTGTCAGTCATTATTGAAATTGTATGAAATACTTCTTTTTGCCTCGCAATTAGATCAATTAGTTGCATCTTACGCATTGTTCTATTTCCAGCAACAATCCAACTAATAAAATATAGAGAGGGTTTAATGTTTAAAGCTTTTATACACGAAAGCTCAAGCGCAATATTTGAAATCATATTTCACAGATCTTCATGGTAGTACTTGCCAATGTAATGCTTTTAATTCCACGTATAAATACTTGTATTGTATAACGAAAAGCATAGATTCGAAGAAGTTTATGAAATAAAGTTAAAAATCTATTGATTCTAAAAAACCTTTTTTGTCTCTTACCTTGTTTACACGACTTTCACATGAGTCTCTTCTTGCATTCGCAGTGTTAGTGTACTACATCGCTCCTGTATTAATTTAAGAAGTTGAAACTTCCAATTCATTATTACCATAAATAGATAAATCAATATACGACAAATATATTAAAAAGTCGAAAGCATACAACAAAAGTAAACTTATATCTCATTTTTTTCCAGTTAGTATCCAAAAGAGTTCAAATATATTCTTAAAGGTAAAGTTTAGTGAATGATTGAGCCTATTAAGATGCAAGAAAGGAGGACACATAAAGTTTCAAGATCAATAATAATCGGAGTTGAAAAAATAATATATCACATAGAAAACATGTCCTTTGTTCTCTTTTTCCAGTTAGTATCCAAAAGAGTTCAAATATATTCTTAGAGGTAAAGTTTGGTGAATGATTGAGCCAATTAAGATGTAAGAAAGGAGGACACGTAAAGTTTCAAGATCAAAAATAATTGAAGTTGAAAAAATAATATATTTCTTGCCAATAAATTCGCCAATAAATCAAAAAGATGATAAGTAAATCCGAAAAAAGAGAACAAAGGACCTGTTTTCTATGTGACAAACTTCAGATTTCATGCCTACAACCACGGAGTGGATCGTCTTCTTTTACAATCTGCAATCGGCGTTGGTGGTTCTTCAATATGGTCATCATTTATACAAATTTCCTATCATTCATATCAATGGAAATACTAGAAGAATCTATGGTTCTTCAATCTGGTCATCATTCAATGAATTTAGATGGGTTTTAAACTTTTCCCAAGAAGAAAAGAGAGAAACTGATCTCTCCAGCAGTTTTCGTTGTTATCCTTTTTGTGCGCTTAGGTTTTCAATGTCGTGGGATCATGGGAGTTTCTTATCTTTTAATTTAATATAATTAAATAATATGGAATTCAACTATAGATTTTTAACAAAAAAGTAGGGAAAAGAATGAAAAAAACACTCGTTCATTATTTTTTACACTGTAACAGGTGTTTTTTCCTAAGTATGCAATTTATAAATATTAATCTTAAATCGATTTTCTTTTTTAGAGAGAGAAAAAAGGTTTACTTTTTACATTTTTTTAAAAATAAATTTAAAACTCCAACAAAGTTGGAGAATTGTCCAAAAAATTGATATGTGTCAGTTTAATATTATGACACTTGTCATCATAATATTTTTTTGCCTCTCCTATTATATATAAATAGATTACACGACTTTCACATGAGTCTCTTCTTGCATTCGCAGTGTTAGTGTACTACATCGCTCCTGTATTAATTTAAGAAGTTGAACCTTCCAATTCATTATTACCATAAATAGATAAATCAATATACGACAAATATATTAAAAAGTCGAAAGCATACAACAAAGGTAAACTTATATCTCATTTTTTTCCAGTTAGTTGTGACGACCCAAACCCTGCACTGGTCGTGATGGCGCCTCTCGTGAAGACGAGGCCAGCCAACAAACCCAACTCGTCTTTTCAAAAATAATTTAAACATGAATAAACAGCTAAAATATGACTTAATAATATTATTTAGCGGAATTACAACCCCACACAGCCCTAGTCGGGGTGTCACAATGGAAATCAAACACTTAATAGTTCATCTATCATCCAGCAGACCTTCCTCGTCACTTCCAAGTTACATAGATACATCTTGCAGTACTAACATAGTCATCACGTGGCTATCCAGCCGCTGCTTCCACTAATAGGGTCAATACCGAATGTATAAGTTCGACACACTTATTCACACAATCAGCACCTCGGTGCTCAAGCCATAGGCAAAGATCCGGCCTCAAGTCCTCCAGACTGGCCCAACATAAACTCACAGAGATTACATCTCGCCCCTCAATCGGCGAATCACAAGCCATCAAGGCATATCTGATACTGAGCGCTCATGCGCACATACGAACGCGTGGAAGGAATTTCAAGAGTTTCTTTTCAAGCTGAATCAAGGACGCACGATAAGAATTCTAGAATGTGAAGTTTTCCTAAAGGTTCTGCAGCCTCTCGAGGATAAATACANATATATGTTCGTCGACTTCAACCACCATATATATATTGTCGTGCGTACGCTAACCCGATCCACTATATAATATTATTGCGGCGTGCAACCCGATCCATATATAATATTATTGCAGCGTGCAACCCGACCCATATATAATATTGTTGCGGCGTGCAACCCGTTCACAATCATAACGAGAGTCCCGACAAGGGATCAATAAGGTCTACACCATCCCGGCAAGGGATTCGACAGCAATAGTAGTTATGTACCGGCGAGGGAGAAACAGCTATAACCAAACTTGTTCCAACATCTAACTACCTCAGCTATAACCAAACTTGTTCCAACATCTAACTACCTCAGCTATAACCAAACTCATTCCAACATCTAATGTCACGACCCAAACACCGCACTGGTCGTGATGGCGCCTCTCGTGAAGATGAGGCCAGCCAACTAACCCAACTCGTCTTTTCAAAAATAATTTAAACATGAATAAACAGCTAAAATATGACTTAATAATATTAATTAGCGGAATTACAACCCCACACTGCCCTAGTCGGGGTGTCACAAGTCACGAGCATCTATTAGAATGTAAGTACAACCTCAAGGTCTAAAAATATACTAATCAAGAATAATGAACAAAGGGAGAAGAACAATGCTGCGAATGCTGGCAGTCACCTCCTTAAACTCCTATATCTCTGACTCTGATCAGCCAAACCCGCTACCGGGTGAATAAATACCTACATCTACACACGGGGTGCAGGGAGTAAAGCGAGTACTCCAACTCAGTGAGTAATAAAGGTAAATAACAACTGAGCGGTAAGAAATCACGTATGTCATATCATCATGCTATATAGAAGTAGTGTAAAACCTTTTGAGAAAAAAAAACAGTGAAGCTGTAAAATCTTTAGAAATATCTTAGCTTAGTTTAAAACCTCTTTTGGAAATGACTTTTTCAACAGTATGCAAAAGAATGCAATTCAAATAGTGCAAATAAGCAGAGAAGTCCGCCCCTCGGGCACTACACTCAATTAACAGGTAATGTCAGGCAATCCGGTAGATATCTCATGAAGTAGCACGACAACAGGTAAGGCAAGCAAATACAATAAAGTAAACACACAGAACAGTACTAGTACCGCTGCGGCGTGCAGCCCAATCCACATACCGCTGCGGCGTGCAGCCCGATCCGTTTATCATCGACGGCGCTCATTGAACTCCGGGAAGGGCCCCTTACGGCCCAAGCGCAATATCAAGCCATCTCATGGCATCAATCTAGGCCCTCGGCCTCGTATCAATATCAGTATAATACTGCTGCGGCGTGCAGCCCGATCCAAACGTATCCTCACAATACAGGCCCTCGGCCTTACCCAGTCAAAGATCAACAAGCCACTCGGGCAACAGTAAGACATGATGCTCAGCCTAAAATACTTTTGAGAATATCATTTCAAGCATTTAAGGCATAATAAACTTGGCTGAGTTTTAAAACAGTGGAAAATACATGACTGAGCTCAAGTATATAATTAAAACAGTGAGGTTTCAACAACAATCCCCGAAGGGTTCAAATAGCTGGCATGAAGCCCAAATATGGCAATCAGCCCAAATTGTGATGATAACAAGTAATTTCAGACATATACGCAGTAAATTCATCAATCGGGACGGACCAAGTCGCAATCCCCAACGGTGCTTTACCCCACGCTCGCTATCCGGCGTGCAAGTCACCTCAATATAGCACTATGATGTGCAAATTCAGGGTTTCAAACCCTCAGGATATCATTTACAATCATTACTCACCTCGAACCGGAGAAATCTCTAGCTCGCAACGCCTTTGCCCCTCAAATCGGCCTCCACGCGTGTCGAATCTATCCAAAGACAAAGCGAATACATCACAATATGCTAAGGGAACAAAGCCCAAGCGAAAACAAACAATAACGAGCACAAATCCCGAAATTACCAAAACCCGAGCCCCAAGCCCACTTCTCGAAACTCAGAAATTTTCACATCAATAGATTCCCTATCTTTCCACGAGTTCATATATATCAAGAACTCCCAAATCCGAGCTCAAACAGCCTATCAAATCCCAATTTAAAAATCTCCAATTTCCAAGCCTTAGTTCTTCAATTTTAGGCTTAATTTCCATGAATTTCTAGGTAGATTTCACAATAGAAACGAGTATTGAGTTCAAAAATATTACCTCCAGGTGATTCCCCTTGAATCCCTCTTTAATTAGCTCTCCCAAGCTCTAAAATCGCTCAACAATGGTGGTTCTTAACCTCAAAATCGCGGAATAGCCTTTATAAAACATTCTGCCCAGCACTTAAAAAATCCTTCTTCACGAACGCGGCCAAAGCCTCGCGTTCGCGAAGCACAAAAATTCCATTGACAAAAATTCTCCTACGCGAACGCGACAACCAGCTCGCGAACGCGTAGCTTACCCAGGCAACCCTCCGCGAACGCGACCCCACTCCTGCGAACGCGAAGCACAAATTTCACTTCCAATCCACCTGACCGAATTCCTCTTATGTGAACGCGAATATAACCATGCGAACGCGATGAACAGCTCATGAACCCTCCGCGAACGCGTCACACGCCTCGCGAACGCGAAGGCTAAACCTTCACTCTCTCAACAGACTCTTCGCGAACGCGAGGCTCCTCTCGCAAACGCGAAGACCAAAAAGTCTGCAACTGCTGGAACTGATTTCTGCACTTCCAAAACTCCAAAAATGGCCCGATTGACCACCTGAAACTCACCCGAGGCCCTCGGGACCTCAACCAAACATACCAACATAATCCATAACATCATTCAAACTTGTTCCAATCATCAAAACACCTCAAACAACATCACATTACTCAAAACTCATCGAATTCAAGCCTAAGTTTTCCAAAAACTTCCGAAATACACTTTCGATCAGAAACCCAACCAAACGACGTCCGAATAAACTGAAATTTTGCACACACATCACAAATGACATAATGAAGCTACAGCAACTCTCAGTATCCCATTCCGACCCTCTGGTCAAAAAGCCACCTATCAACCGGAAATCGCCAAAATACTAACTTCGTCAATTCAAGCCTAATTCTACACCGGACCTCCAAAACCAATTCCGATCACGCTCCTAAGTCATAAATCACCTAACGAAGCTAACCAAATCATAAAAATTCTGATCCGAACTCATATACAAATAAGTCAACTCTTGGTCAAACCTTCCAAATTCAAGGCTTTCAACTGAGACTGTTCTTTCAAATTCATTCCAAATTTTCCTGAAAACCAAATCTAATGATCTACGTTAGTGATTGCACATTACACGGGGCAAGTCACGCCCGAGAACTGGCGATCAAAGCGCAAAAGCTCAAAACAACCGGTCGGGTCGTTACATTAGTATCCAAAAGAGTCCAAATATATTCTTAAAGGTAAAGTTTGGTGAATGATTGAGCCAATTAAGATGCAAGAAAGGAGGACACATAAAGTTTCAAGATCAATAATAATCGGAGTTGAAAAAATAATATATCACATAGAAAACATGTCCTTTTTTCTCTTTTTCCGGTTAGTATCCAAAAGAGTTCAAATATATTCTTAGAGGTAAAGTTTGGTGAATGATTGAGCCAATTAAGATGTAAGGAAGGAGGACACATAATGTTTCAAGATCAATAATAATTGAAGAGGAAAAAATAATATATTTCTTGCCAATAAATCAAAAAGATGATAAGTAAATCTAAAAAAAGAGAACAAAGGACCTGTTTTCTATGTGACAAACTTCAGATTTCATGCCTACAACCACGGACTGGATCGTCTTCTTTTACAGTCTGCAATCGGCGTTGGTGGTTCTTCGATATGGTCA